ACTCCACTTCCTTGTTGCCTGCTTAGACTCTTGGCACTCTGAGGTGAGCAGACTTAGTCAGCCTGTGTTGCCCTAACAGATTGGGGCCATTTGGTTCCACACCACATCTCAGGCCAATGGACTCACCACAATATGTCACATGATGTATGTGGGTGTTCTTCTGGCCTTATGCTGATCAGTCTCTGTGCTTCTGCAGGTTTATGGTGATGCATCTTCAACTCTGACTGCCACCAGACCACTTCAAAATGCTTGCCTCAATTCCTGTACTACATATCTGATGCATGGATTGAAGAAAAAGAAGTGGTTCAGTCACTGGCACACCAAACAAGGAAGGAGCAGCAGTATATTGAATGGACAATATCCTTTGCAGGAGATTGAGCCAACCTATATGCATCTTCCCAAGCTTACCAAAGAAAATGCTAGTGGAGAGGAGCTGAATTTGAGCAGAGCACTTGGACAAGTGTACAAAGACATGGTCCTAGTCGACTCCTTGGAAGGAAATGGAGGTGTGAGCATGCAGAATGTTGATGACCCTTCTACCGAGTCTGAAGACAGCAATGGAGACAACAATGAATCAGAGGAGGACAACAAATCAGACCAGGGTGACTCAGAAGATGGTAAACCCAAAGAACCGCAGGATAGACCTGCCAAAAAGGACAAAAAGAAGAAAAGGAAGTGCAAGGATAAGGGCAAAGGCAGAGCAGTCAAGACACCTGCTGCTCCTGCTGCATCTTCCTCATACCTTCACCATGATCACAATCTCGAATGTGGACTTCCTGAACCTGACACCATCTCCAAAGATGAGCCTGCTGGCAACCAACCCAGTGAAGCAGCAAATGCAAATAACCCCCAGTGCATTGACAGAGAGGAACTGGCTTGGGACTTGCTGAGGGCATTGGCTTGTTTCACCCTCTGGGGTTGTGATGGAGACATGAGCACAATTCAGGGCAGTGAACATGGTATGCTCAGCAATGGATGATTGTTGTGGGATGAGGAAAGGGGCAAAGGACTGCTGGTGAGTCAAATTCCTCACTTTTGAGTAGGGAGATTGTGAGATTGGAACAGCCAGTACATTGAGTCATTGAACCTCAAGGTGTCTTGCCCATCTCTCCTGAAGAAGCCACTATGTTGATGTTGCCTCATAGCTTGGTCAACATAACCGGAATTTCTTCTCTGGTTGGTGAGGTTGAGAGGGCTTGCGGTGCAGCAATAGGACAGTTCGAAGGGAGAGTGGTTATGCATACCACATGGAGGGATTTCCATGTGGGAGGATATCAAGGCATCAAAAACTGGAACAGATGGTGTCAGGGCACCAGCTCATTGCTTGGTCAAGAGACATGACTAAGCCTTTATGACATGGAAGTAGCTGGTATACCTTGGCA